CCTTTTGGGGACTCTTCCTTGCATGTAAAAATGGGGGTGATGCCACCTTCCACAGGGATCCCATAACCATACAGAGGGCTTGGCACACTGTCTGGCAATCAGAGGCTTTGCTGAATCCTGATCCGCCCCGTCCAGTCAGCAACTGAGACCCCACCTTGGTCCAACAGCAAACACAGTGATGATGGTTGTACGGCCTGGATCTCGCCGGCAGGTGTGCTGGGGTAGGGAATGGAAGTCAGACATCTTGATCTCCATACATAACCACTGATGGACACCCTCAATGTCTTTCACTAGGCTCACCCTAAAATGGAGAACAGAAAAATCAGCTCCCACCTCTGAGGCCAAAGTGGAGAGGTGGGCATGAGTGCAGATGTGGTGGGGGTGATGGTGGGGGCTTGCTGCCAATCTGGCTTTTCCTGTTATTGACACGCTCAGATGAAAGTGGGCCCTATTCACAAACACAGCATCCATTCCTGGGACTCATCCCAAGCAGAACCTCAAATAAAAACCAGAACAAACTACACGAATTTGCTGAACCCCAAACAGAGCCAAAGTCAAAGCTCTTATGAAACTACAAACAGAACCACAGTTTCAAAAACACCAGGAAAATAGTCTCAACAAGGCATTACCTACATGAAGGGTGTCTGAAATCTCTTTCAGTGTAAAAATGCTATAAGTTTGCTCTTCCACTTTCTAAAATTACTGCATTAGTTATTAAAATAACAACCAAAGTAGTCTGACTGTAAATTGAGCTTTTTTATTTACCCTAAGATCTCTTAATCAAATGGAGATATAACCAGGGTTATCAATGTAGGTATTTCTACTGCATCTATTCCTGTAACATGTTAAATCTCTGTCTCTGTGAGAGAAGAACATTGATTTTTCCACAGAAGAACTTTTTTTCCAGCTCCAAGAACAGCTGAGGGCTGCAAAACTGAGCAGATGGCCACATGGAAGAATCTGCTTGGTTGATAAGATAGTTTAAAAGAAAAATCACCTTCCTGCACATCCCAAATACCTGTCAAAGTAGGTCATGAACACTGTTTGATTGGAACAAACCAAAATATTTAAGGGATCGAATCTTCCAGAGTTCATGATAGCTGCCTCACCAAAGGTCTGAGCTGAAGCATTGACGTTTCCTTTATTTATAAAGCCCAGATTGTGAGCAAGGCAAACAGCCCTGCCAGTGTGTTTGTAGGTCCAGACAGTGACTGTGCCGGCTCCACAATGGTCTTTATCACTGTAACTTGTTTGGCCCTGCCTGTAACTGACTAAACATGGGAATTACAAAATGCAGAGTGCGGGACAGGAACCGCCTGAAAATATGAGTCAAGCACCTTACCAGCCTCCGAACCCGAACATGCCTCAAGAATGCTGTAAACCTTACAAACAGTGAACCCAGGTGTTTATCAGAAAAAAAGCATGTCGTACTAAAGCAAGAGTGTGGTCTGGACCTGAGGAAACAGCAGTGCAGAACGGAATGTCTTTTCACCAGAGTGATGTGTGGCCGCAGCCTTGAACAGCAGATCTGCAGATTAATGAAGATAGTAAAATAGATCACATCCTCCTGCCTCCAGGTATAATATTTTATTCATATGAGAGCTATGTGAGCCTTGATTTATATGAACTTTCATTAGTAGGCAAAATTCAATCATAAGGTTTCCACTTTTCCCCTCTGGGCTTCCTTAAATTCAACACACAGTTAAACGGTGATTGGCTTCCCCTCTGACTAGGTAGTATCCCACCCCCAGGCCCCCCAAAAAAAAGAAAAAGAGGAAAATGAAAAGCCCATGAGAAAGGTTGCCAGGCAAAATGGTTTGCCTCAACCATATAACTTCTGATTTGTTCTCCTCCGGGACAGTCTAATGCAGCCTTATTCAGATGGACCATTATTCCACAGAGCGCACTCAGGTCAAAGCAGAGACTTTTCCTTCACAAGTAGGAGATACAGCACTAGGTGTACACGAGGGCTATTTCCAATCTCGGAGGGGTAATGTGTCTCCATTGCAGGTCCATCTATTCCTGACCTGTTTTCTTCATAAACCAGCAATGCTTTCCAAACAGCCCCAAATTTCAAAGAAGCCCTAGTTGGTTCCAAATGGAAATGAGATTACATATTTATTATTATTTTATTCTGAAATGTTAGATTTAATTAGGTTGGGAGCATTCACTCATCTGCCCATTGGGTTTGTTTACTTGGTTAAGAGACAATAGAATTGCAGGGAAGGCAAAAAACCACATAGGGCCCCCCAAATTGCCATTGTTTTTAGCTTTTATAAACCATTAAAATGTAAGTCAAGTACATAAATCCATCTATGAAGAAAGGAAGTGGTATTGCTGAGCTCCCTGGTAGATGATGACGGGACTTCTTGGGATTCCATGTCTAGTATTTTCATCTGCAGGCTATCTAGAGTCACGTGCTCTCCAATGACATTGAACCAGGAATCTCCAAAGGTGAGAAGGCCCTGGCCCACCCCAAATGCAGCTCCTGCTTGGTGAAAGGAGAGAAGGGGTGAGGCCAGGGACATAGCCAGAGCCCTGCTGCCCTCCAGCTGAGCTGCTCACTTGCTACTCCCAAAGAAAACTGAAGGGTCAACCGTTCCTTTTGCCACCTCTGAAATTAATTCAGTGCTTAAAACCAGAGGTGGGTCAAGCGGTGGATTACCTGAGGTTGCCTCTGGGCTAACAAAGGCTTCTCTTCAGTGTGATGAATCGCTCTGATGGCCCTGGGCCCGGAGCAGTGATTTGAGAAAATCACCCATGGCAACAATTAGGCAACGAGTCTCCACTGACTGCCAAAATCTCACTGCATATTGGAGGGAAAGAGAATTTATATGTAATCCGATTTAGAGCAACAACAACAACATCAACAAGTTAATGTTCCCCAGTTCTTCGTGGGAAAAATTCAATCCAGGTCCAGAGACAGCTGCAAGAGCAGGGCAGCTTACACGTGAAGTCCGCATTCACAGGCTGGCAGGGGTCGGAACCCAGATGGTGCTCCCGCTCCGCCACACTGTGCACTGCTGTATGATTTTCCAAGAGGCATGTGTCTTGCACAGCCTTAGTTTCCCCACCTGTAAAACTGAATAGCGGCTGGGCGCGGTGGCTCACGCCTCTAATCCCAGCACTTTGGGAGGCCGAGGTGTATCACGAGGTCAAGAGATCGAGATCATCCCGGTCAACATGGTGAAACCCCATCTCTACTAAAAATACAAAAAACTAGCTGGGCATGGTGGCACGTGCCTGTAAGCCCAGCTACTCAGGAGGCTGAGGCAGGAGAATTGTCTGAACCCAGGAGGCAGAGGTTGTGGTGAGCCGAGATGGCGCCATTGCACTCCAGCCTGGGTAACAAGAGGGAAACAAAGTCTCAAAACAAAAACAAAAACAAAAAAAACTGAATAGCTACCTTCCAGGCTTTGGGAGAAAATTCAATAAGAAAAGAATCTTGCCTAGGGCATAATAAGCCCAGTAAATAACAGATGTTATCATTATCATTATCCTCCAGGTAGCTGTGATATGTGGGATCCCAGGACCGAGCAGCAAAGGAGATAGAGGTAGTTAATACAGCCCTCCTCCAGTACCACTGAGAGTGCCCCAATTACCCTAATAGAAGCTCCCCTGCAGGAGCGCCCTGTCTTAGAGCTCAAGGAAAGACCTACAAGGGAAAACTGTAGAGCTGTAATCATCAGCTAAAAGAGGAAGGAAATTCTAATCTCACAGAGCCTTTGGAGACTTGTGAACACCCGAAGCTTGGAGAAGGCTTCAACAGGGAACAAACCGTGAAAGCCACACAAGATTGAACTTGAGCGGCAGGAAGGAGCACCCCATGTGACCCTGCACCTTAAAGGGATGCAGATATGTGATGGATGTTTCTGGAATATAGGGCTCATTTTCCAGTGGAAAACCTCCATATGCACATGAGTGTATGGAGAGGTCATAGTCAAGGAGGCAGAGACGAGTGGAGACAAGCGATAGGGCGAGCATCCTCAACCTGGCTCCACGCTATCTGATGCCCGACACCTAATGAACCACCCAGTAAAGGAAGATACGGCCAAGGACAAAGCAATTCCCCCTTCATATCTAGCTATAATTTATTCTACATAGTCGATGTGGCAAGCACTGTGCTTGCTGTTTTAAGCGGGTCATACTTCTAATCCCCACAATGATCCTGAAAGGTAAGTATTACGCAATCAATTACCTGGATAAATAACATGAGGTTCGGGGAGATTAAGTAGCTTGCCTAAATCTCGGTAGGTAGGTAGATAGATATAGGGAGAGATTGAAATATATTTAAAGAAAAAAAAAACACACACACATTATTTGTCCGACATTCCTTCCTTTAGACAGGATTCTGAATGTGGGGTAGGCAGGAGAGCTGTCAGTCAAGAAGCGAGCCTGCCCACCACAAGACTAGTCATGTGACCCAGGCCAGAGAATCAGGTTATCCCACAGGGAACCTCAGTGATTGGCCCAGGGGTAAGCAGGTGACTCATGTAGAGCCAGAGTCATATTTTTGATGTTTCTTAAGGAAGTTGGAAATAACTCTTTTGGAAATTACCAGCTCCAGAGAGGATGTTAGCCTTGAAGTGCTGGGAGCATTCTGTGTCACTGGGGAAAGGGAGACTCGATTCTCTGGATATCATTGACCATCTGGGTCCTGGGGTGCCTGAAGTGCTGGGTCATTGGTTCTCAAAGTGGGGCCCCCAAAGCAGCAGCAGCAGCAGCAGCCTCATGACCTTGCTGGAGATGCAAATTTCCACCCTCACCCCCTGACTCACTGCATAAGAAGCTCTGGAAGATGAAGCTCAGTGACATCTGTTCCCAAGCACGCCAGTTGGGCCTGATGCTTAATTTGAAAAGCACTGTTTTAGGTCAATCTAGGGAACTGTTAATTTCATGAGCCAATAGATATCCCTTTTCTTGACTAAACATTGATTATAATAAAAGAAAAAAACACCAAGATAATTTTGAGTTGTTTTTATTAAAAAATTGCAGCTGTTTTTTTAATCACAAGTAAACTTCATTATTTTGCCATTAAAATCTCTTCAATGCAGAAATTCCTTTGAGGTTTTCTAGTTTTGTTCTGTGTTTGTTTGCATGTGAGGCAAGACACCCCCGGATGCTTGCAAGAAAGAGACAATTTGAAGTAATAGGCAGAAGTACAATCTGACCCTGTAAGTAACCGACTGCAGAACACACAGCTGGACATACAGACATAAGCAGCTGCCAGGCATTTATACATGACAGTTAGATGGCTGGCAAAAGGAGACTGGGCCACAGAGGCGTGACCTGGCTGGAGGTATAGATCCCACCACTGGAAAACACTGTTCTTAAAACAACACAAAACTCTATCCAAGGACGAGAAGTGATTGAATATGAAGTGTTCGAAGAAAGATTTCAAAGAGTGAAAATGAAAGGCTTCCTTTCTTTTGCTGAGTGAGTTGAGAGGGTGATGCAGAGGAGCAGAGAAGGAAGAAAACAGGGAGTGGAGGGACAGGGCCCACCTCGGTGGCAGACAGCTTTGCAGAGGCTCCTGAAGACACAAGGTTGAAGGCCCTGGACTCAGAAAGTTCCCTGCATCTGCCAGTCAAGGGGCCAGCTGTTTCCACAGAGGGTGGAGCCAAGCAAAAGCTGGAGAGTGAACAAGAGATGCTCGGAGCAATTGTCCTCAGGGTACCGGGGCTGCCGAGTGCAGATGGCAGGTGGTTAAGGTGAGGTCTGGTGCACAGGTCATTGCAGGAGACGGAGATTGCTGTGTGCCTAGAAATGGAGTGAAAAAGTGAGTGCAAAGAAGTGGAAAAGTTAGATGTGGCATAACCTGTGAATCATTATTCCAGACAGTGGGGAGGCTCATGGGTGTGTGTGTGTGTGTGTGGTGTGTATGTGTGTGTGTGTGTGTGGTGTGTATGTGTGTGTGTGTGTGTGTGGTGTGTGTGTATGTGTAAGAGAGAGAGAGAGAGAGATCACATGCCTGTGGACAGAGGTCGGCTGGAACCCCTAACTTCCAGGAAACTCCTGGGTCCTCTGCTTCTTCTACTCATAGGTCTGCACTATGTTCTTCTAGGGTCACTCATCTATTCATCCAACAAATATTCAACAGGCACCTGTTACACAGCAGATATTACATACATGTGGCTGTGCGCTTAACTGCGAGGCTGTGTGCTACAGCTGCAGGGTGGGGATTGGGGCTTCAGCTCCCACCTTGTGCAATGTGGGATCTTCTCCAAAGTCATACTGAACCACCCCACATACAAATTTAATATAAGTCGGAACATCATGCTTGCTATAAAAGCTTCAAAAGAAGGAAGCCGCTCCGCGGATCACCACCTCCCTCCAAGCTGCAGTCCTAATCTCCTCCTATGTCAAAATCAGGGGCTGCTGCTGTCCTGGCGGGTTTACAGATGAAGACCCAGATTCTGACTGAGGAGTCTCCCAGTAAAGGGAAAGTGACAAATGCTGAGTCACCCCTGACGCCACCGAGCTGAGTGGACCACGCAGAGGGGGCTGGACGCAGGGCACTCCGGCGTGGACCTCAGGGGCCTACACTGCAGTGCAAATCCTCCACGATAGTACATAGGACATACTGGGAGAAACTGAAAGGCCATGGGAGAAAGGCTTGCTCAGGGAAACACAGGTCTTTCCTGGGGTGGAGCAAGGGGGGAAGATTCCTCCGACCTCCAGTGCCAAGCTAGTGTTCGGACTTTCTTCTAAAGGCCACAGGTGAGCCCTTAGGAGTATGGAGACCCCTCCGGCCCACATGGTGAATGGGGAAGGAAATTCTGCCAGAAGCTGGGAAGTCAATGTTGACCCTCTGGACTAGACATAAGTGACGTGTGGGGCTGCACATAGGGTCATGGCAGAGGAAATGGGACAGCGGAACTGATTTGAGTCTAGAAATCTTAACTGGGCTTGGAGTAGGTGTGTGAAAAAGCCCTGAAAATCTATGCAGATTTTGATATGTGCAGATATTATTTTCCTCCTGGGGTAGATTTTAATTCTCAAAGGAGTCTGGGACCCCCCAAAAAATGTCCTCCCCCTACTTGAAAGATGGCCAGAGTTGGTGTTGGTAGGATACCAAGCGGTGGGAAGAACACCCACTCGTTCTCGAGCCCCTGACTTCTAGACGGAGTTTCCAAGAGGACTTTGGAGATACGTTGCTTTTGAGGTATCTGTGAGGTGCTGAGAAGCTGGGGACAGGAAACGCAGGCGCACGCGCACTCAGAGTTGGCGCGTCTTTGGGAAGCTGCACATTCTTTAATTGAGTTAATTGTTCAGGCACTGAATGGAGCTGTTTCTGCTCCAGCTAGGGAAAGACGTGTCAGCTGTTTCTGCACTTATCTGACCTTGGAGAATCTGCTGTCTCCACCAGACACTGATCCTTGGCACTGCGAGAATCTGATACACTTGACTCTGGTCAGGATTTAAGACCTCAACCAGGAAATGAGCTCCAGTCTCACCCCAGGCAAGTTCAGAACATTTTCCTAACCAGGAGACGCCGGCCTGGGTCGCACATTCCAAGAAAGCCGCAACAATGGAAATCAAACAGCTCCTTCTCTCCTCCACGCTGCTTTCGGGCAGGTTCCAAACAAAAATGGAGGGGGCCCTGCAAATTAAAAACAACGGCCTGCCAGTCAAAGGCAGTGTTTTTAAGCACAGAAAGCGCAATGCCACTGCAGGGGGCAGATAAAAGAGCTTTTGAGCATCTCGGAAGCCGCTCACACACAAAGGCACCTCTGTGCCTTCACACAGGAACTCCTAGAAGTTTCCCAAGGTTTCATAACCCCAATGCCGCGGGTAGTGATGTGGTCTGGAAATTAACCTTGCTTTTCTCCCCACTGCTGTTTTACATATTAATTAAAGTGTTTTCCTCAGATCAGGAACGCCTGCAGGCTGGCTCGGTTCTGCAGAAGGTGCCTCATTTTCCTGCTGCTTCCCGCCCCAGCTCCGCGTGTGCATAGTTCAATGATTAAAACTTCCCCCAGTCAACGGTGAACGCCTCCCCTCCCCTAACCACCATCGTGATATAAAACACACACTTCAATGTGGCTTTTAAGAAATCATCGCTTCCCCACCCCCACAAGAAAGTTGGGTCGTGCAGAGCTAATTTCGGGGAGTTCTTTGGAAGAAATTGTTGAGAAGGCATGCAAGTATTTTGCTTCACCTCTGCTTACCTCATTCATGGACCTATTTCTTTTTCTTTTCTTCTTTTCCAGTGCTTGAAAAAGGTGTGCAAACAATTCACATATTATAAATACATTGACTTGGGCTGGGCGCAGTGGCTCACGCCTGTAATCCCAACACTTTGGGAGGCTGAGGCAGGCAGATTACTTGAGGTCAGGAGTTTAAGATCAGCCTGGCCTACATGGCAAAACCCCGTCTCTACTAAAAATACAAAAGTTACCCATGCACAGTGGCGTGCACCTGTAGTCCCAGCTACTCGGGAGGCTGAAGGAGGAGAATCGCCTGAACCCTGGAGGCAGAGGTTGCAGCGAGGCGAGATCATGTCACCACACTTCAGCCTGGGTGACAGAGCAAGGCTCTTGTCTCAAATAAATAAGAAAAAATAAATAATAAACACATTGGTTTGCTTTCATTCATCTATTTTGGGGATACAAGGGAGCTTAAAGTTTGCAAACCGAAACGTAGCTGGCCGCGGAAGGCGCAGATTTGCTCGACAAGGTGTGAACTTCAGCAGCCTGCGTCATTTTCAAACGCCGTGTCCCGATTTGAATGTTTCCAAGTAACTTAAAAAATGGAAGATTCATAGTGACATTGAAAACATACCAGGATTAATTATCTAGTCCGGTACATCAACTTTATGTGTCTGTGACCCAAGACAATAAAAGTAAGTCATAGTTACCTCCTTAGGTGCTGGACACGTCAGCCCAATATACGTCTTTCAATTTTGACTTACAATTTGGACTGTCATGAGATTCTTGGAGTACATTAAATCAACACATTTCTTTGTAATTATTGAGGATCTTTTGTGCCCTATAAAATCAAGTGTAAAGTAGTTTAAACTATAAAATGCAAAATGTAGGGACAACTGGTAATCCATAGTGAAAGTAAATGAAGTTTAAATAGCAAAGAGCAGATTATTCTCAAATTTACATAACAGAGTTCCTACATGTGGAAGTAGATACAACTATTAGTACATTCAGTTGATTTATTAAAAATAAAGTGAAGCCACTCTATTTTTCTACTTACCACTTGCTGATAAAATCCAAAAGGGTAAATAAGAGCCAGGATTCATTGCCATGAGTGTAGGGGCACCCTGGGGAGGCCACCTCCATTCCATGTGGCAGTGGTGTCATCAGAAATTCTGTGATCGTCTGGACACGTATCTACAGGGTCCCCCACACACTGACTTGGTGTCCTTTAGAATGCAGAAAACCTGAATTAGACTAGTTTAATGAATAAGGAAACCCAGTGGCTCTTAGGACCCTAAGCCCTGTGGTGGGACCTGCTTCATGGCTGGAGGAGCTAAGAGGTCTCTGGTTCACCAAACCCCCAGTTCTTTACATCTTTCTGCTTTCTGTCACCTGCAGTGTCGGCTTTGTCCCCAGGCTGTCCATCTTGGTGTCCCTGGCTCACGACCAGTAGTAATCAGGCTGCTCGAGAACTTATCAAATCCACAGCAAGGTGCTTCCAGAGGCCTCCTCAGTGGAGCTGGAACCCCTTCCCCTGAGCCCCAGCAAGGCCCTCCTATGCCACTACAGTCCCCTGGATAGCAGGAAGAGGTCTGAGCTGGCCCTGCAGGAGCTGCAGGTGCAGCCAGCCTCCCCACCTGGGGGTCAATGTTCTCAGAGCAACATTTGTTGAGCTGAGCTCACCAAGTTCTCTAACAGAGGGCCTGGCTGTGTGGAGCCACAAATATCTGTCATTAAAACAGCTCAAGGACAGGAGAAAAGATTGACAGTCAGTTCAGAATGGCGTCCCAGGGTTTCTGCCCCGAGGAGAAAACTCAGTTCATCTGAGATCTTTTCTAACTCCAAGATTCTGCAACATTGTCTCTGTTTTAAAAAAGATAGCCCAGTTTTTGAGGATAAAGGATTCCCAAAGCATTTACTGAATGCCTACTGTAGTATGCCAGGCCCTTTTCTCAAGTCTGCTTAACCAGGAGTGAAGAAAGCTGACATTACCGTCCATGTCACATTCTGGTAGGAGAGAGGTACAATGAACACAATGAATCAGTGAAATCGGTCTTATTTTAAAGAGTGACAACAGCATCGAAAAGGAGGCTATGGCCCTGGGACGAGGATTGAGTGGTTTCCTGGGGAGGCATTTCCAGGAGGCGAAGGAGAGAGGGGAAACAAGGAAAGAAAAGTGCTAGAGGGTGTGTGCTTACCCCTGAATGAGTCCCGGGGGACACCCGGCTTCTCCTGCTCCTCAGATCATGAAAGGAGCACGTGGGGAGCCATGCGAAGCCACGCGGAGAGCCCTGGGGAGCTTGTTGAGAGCCATGAGCAGGGTGCTGAGAGAGGATGCTGTGGCCACGGCTTTCAGGCACCACCAGGCCATGGCTGGTAGGCCCTCGGGCAGTGCAGGTGCAAGGTAGAACCATCCTTGCTGTGGACAGTCCACCCAGAAAGCAGTGGCCTTGGGGGTGAGCCAGAGGATGGGGTGACTGAGAGAGGCCCTTGTGGGGATGGTGGTTCTGAATAGAGGTGAGATCAGAGAAGGAGCTGGGAACCAAACCAGACAGTTTTTAGGACGTGGTTAGACTTTGACACTGCGTGAGGTTGGGGCATGTCTGACCCACTTTGTCACCAGCATCGTAGTGGCTTCTTAGTAAAGAACAGGCTGAAAGGGGTAAGACAAAGGGCAGGGGGACCTGCTGGGAAGGGGCCATTACCAACATCCCGGCCAGGCAGGGGTGGCAGAGGTAGCGGGGGGCCTATGAGGCTGGGTGAGGGTGGAGGGGACACCACTCTTGTCACCAGTGCTGGGAAGAGGGAATTGCCATAGAGTGAGAACAGGAGGCTCTGGGGAGGGGTTCTGCTGTGGGGCAGAGGGCTCAGTTTGGGACAATGTTGATGCTTTTGGAGCTCATCAGCCATCCTGGTGGGTGACTCGTGGAGGCCACTGGATATTACAGCTCTGGGGAAAAAAATAGAGTCATCAGCATATTTATAGCCCTGGAACGGATGGGATGGCTGTTGTGACAGTGAGCAACTGCGTCTGAGGCCCCAGCACTTGCAGGGTCCCATGGGAGGCTAGGGCAGTAAGGGAGCAAGCAAACCCCACCCAGAGCAGGTGGGCAGTGAGAACAGATGGCCACTCTGCTGCTCTCAAAACCAAATGCATGGCCAGGCATGGGGCTCCCACCTGTAATCCCAGCATTTTGGGAGGCAGAGGCCGGCAGGTCACCTGAGGTCAGGAGTTCAAGACCAGTTTTGCCAACATGGTGAAACCACCCCCATACACACTAAAAATACAAAAATTAGCCAGGTGTGGTAGCACGTGCCTGTAATCCCAGCTACTCTGGAGATTGAGGCAGAAGAATCACTTGAACCCAGGAGTTTCAGTGAGCTGAGATTCTGCCCCTGCACTCCAGCCTGAGCCACAGAGCAAGACTTCATCTAAAAAAAAAAAAAAGTGCAGAGGTGCTTTACATCTTTACATAGAGGCGAATGGTGGAAGACGCGGCTATTTGGTGAAACCTACGTGACTGAAGCATTTGCATGGAGAGAGAGGGAAAGGATGGAAGAAGGCAACGTGAACTAAATAACTCTCCCTTTTGTTTGCTTGCTTGTAGGTTTGCCTTTATGAATGCCAACATGAAGTTTTGAACCTTAAATTTAGAATAAAAATATGGAACACCCAGTTTCCTAGAGTGAGGGCACCATTCTGAATTTGCTGCCAGTGGACCTGGTGTGGGTTTTGGGGCCAATGTCCTTTTCTGCTAAGACAGCTTGGCCTCTTGGAAGGAAAGCTGGACTTGGTTGCCATGACTCAGACTGTTACTAAATTTCTTATGATGTCTCCGCATGTTAAAACAAAATCAATGTGGACATCATGGGTTTAAACATAATTTTGAATGAATGAGGGAATTCAGGTAGATAGTTTCTCATAATGCAGTATCAGTTGGTGAGATCTTCTAAAGAAACGTGTACGGTTCTCTTGGGAATTGTTTCATTAAATCCAAAAGGCAAAAAAAATAAAAACGCACTTCTGATAGATTTGTCGGAGTTACACATAATCATATCTTTCAAGAGCAGATGTGCCAAAATATACACCACGGAGTGTGGCTAGGTGACCCGAACTGCCCACAAATTATCAAAATATACACCGCAGAGTGGCTAGGAGACCCGAACTGCCCACGGATTATCCAAATATACACCACGGAGCGTGGCTAGGAGACCCGAACTGCCCACGGATTATCCAAATATACACCGCGGAGCGTGGCTAGGTGACCCGAACCGCCCACGGATTATTAAAATATACACAGCGGAGCGTGGCTAGGTGACCCGAACTGCCCACGAATTATCAAAATATACACCGTGGAGTATGGCTAGGTGACCCGAACTGCCCATGAATTATCAAAACTCAAAGTTCGTTCCCCACAGGACTGAGTTTTCAGACCTACCCATGATTCCTCAAACAAATGACTGCAAAGGGCCAAACGTCACATTCTTTGAGGGATCTGATGCTCTTGGCACGGAAGCTTTAATCAGAGCGAGACTCAAACCCACCGGAGTTAAGCTCTCTGAAAGGCTTTATTCCTTGGCAACCATAAGCAGACCTCTACAGCTGACTGTTTTTAAAGGATTATCCCTGAATTATAAAACCACAGTTACCACCTTATTCTTGTAACTCTAACATATCATTTTGAGTCAATTTTTAAAACTTGATACATGAGAGTCAAGATTGAGGGTCAAAGGGTCAGTGACTGATTCTTACCCTCAAAGAGCATATACTTGAATAGAGAATGAAACAAGTGCTCCGATTCAGAGGTAAATACTATAAACAAAAACCAAAGTGCTTTGAGTCAGTCACTTGTTGGAGGGATCAGGAAGGTCTTCATGGAAGGGTAACAGTGGAGAAAGGCCTTCAAAAATGGGGAAGATTTTCCCAGGCGGAGTTAAGAACAAAGAGAAAGCAGTTTGTGGGGAGACAGGAAGCACAAATGTGCTGGGAGTGAATTTGAGATCTTCCTGACTCCGGGCTGTGATGGCAGAGAGGACCTGCCCATGAGCTCTCCAAGATGAAGCCGAAGGTTTCATGGCCCATGTTATAAGGCGCTGGAATGCTGAAGTGTAGAATTTGGACTTTATTTGGTAAGAATGGGAAACTACAGAGGGTTCTGGAGTAGAGAAGTGTGATCATGGAAGCTGAGCATCGGAATGATTCATCAGGTGATGCCTCAGAGATTCTCTGAATGGCACATAAACCAGAGACAAGAAGGTGAGTCCAGCTGTTTCTGTGGCCCAGCAGGAAGTTACAGGAAATAAGTGACATCAGTGGAATGGCAAGGGAGGGGTGGTTACAAGTGATGTTTCAGAGAGGAATTGATTGGATGTGGGGAGGGCCCAAGGGAACTGTTGGAAATAAGTGTCCGTCTCTAAATTTTAGCCCTAGTGACTCTGAGAAAATGGTCAAGAAGTGGAATTGGTTTTCAAGGAAGACACTGATCCATTCTGGACACGTTAAATTTAAGATGCCTTTAGAAAAAACAAATTAGGCCAGGCGCGGTGGCTCACGCCTGTAATCCCAGCACTTTGGGAGGCCGAGGCGGGTGGATCACGAGGTCAAGAGATCGAGATCATCATGGTCAATACGGTGAAACCCCGTCTCTACTAAAAATACAAAAAAATTAGCTGGGCATGGTGGTGCATGCCTGTAATCCCAGCTGCTCAGGAGGCTGAGGCAGGAGAATTGCCTGAACCCGGGAGGCAGAGCTTGCAGTGAGCCGAGATCACGCCATTGCACTCCAGCCCAGGTAACAAGAGCAAAACTCCATCTCGAAAGGAAAAAAAAAAAAAAAACAAGAAAAAACAAATTAAGGCACACTGCTGGCAAATGGCACATGTAATAGCCTGGTTTCTGGGATTTGAGATGTGGCTGCAGAGAAAAAGGCAGTAAGGGATCTCCAAAGAAGGAGATCACACAGGAAGGAAGTGAGGAATGAGAAGGTCATTGTTGGAAGCTTGGGCGTCAAGGACATTTAGAGAGCAGAGGGAGAAAGAAGGAGTGGGCATGCAGTAGCCGAAGAAATGTACAGCCACCCACCCTGCAGGGAAGATGAGGGCAGAGTGGCTGTGCATAGGTGTGGAACTGGCCAGACTCAGGGTGGGGCCCTGATTCTGCTAGTGGGGTCTTGTCACCTGAGACATCTATCTGAGCACCCTGTCAGCGCGTCCCTGCATTGTAAATGGGAGTTTTTGCAAGGGTGAAATAAGATGCAAGGTGTTTGGTATAAGATCTTGTGACAACTAGCACTAAGGAATGGTACCTATGACCTGCATTAGGCAGGGAGGAGTCAACCAGGTGAGCTGCTGCTGCAGGAGGATGAGAGCTCTTGCAACATCATCGAGAAGGCTGTTAGCCCTGCCTTTCAGTGGCTGAGGGTGGCAGAAGCCAGATTGCAAATGGGCAGGGCATAAGTGGTAGGGCAAGAAATAGATGGATATTTTATTTTTTCCCTTCTCTATCTGGACAAAGGTCTTTTTCCTTCCAAGGTATAGCTGATTTTTCTCTCTCAAGAGCTTCCCTGGGGAGGCCCTGTTTTCTAGTGTCTCTGTGGGTCTTTGTTCTTTGCATGAGGTCCCAATGATGCCACCCAGTCATTTACTTTCTTACAGGCATGTTTTCCACCAGCCACCCACACTGATTAGCTGGAGAGTGACTCAAGGCAGGAATGATGCTCTTGTCATAGAACAGCCTCTGCTCGAATGCTTGCTGAACAGCTGGCTAGCTCTGAGCACGAAGCAGAATGCAGGAAGGTGGGGTGTGTGAGTATCAGAGACAGCTTGAAAAAGGTGGGGGCAGGCTCCTGCTTGGGGCACCTCACCTCCTGGATATGAAACCACTTGTGTGGAGCAGGCCCAGTAGCAAGGGAGAGGGCCAGAGGAGAGGGAGTTAAAAAGTCCACATATGGAGTCACCTGAGATGCCATGAAAAGAGATAGGAATAAAGACACATTAATGGGACCTAAATGGAATTACAGACTTGAGGCCGGGTGCTGTGGCTCACACCTGTAATCCCAGCACTTTGGGAGGCTAAGCCATGCAAATCATCTGAGGTCGGAAGTTCGACACTACTCTGACCAATGTGGAGAAACCCCATCTCTACTAAGAGTACAAAATTAGTTGGTCATGGTGGCACATGCCTGTAATCCCAGCTACTGGGAAGCCCGAGGCAGGAGAATTGCTTGAACCCAGGAGGTGGAGGTTGCAGTGAGCCAAGATGTGCCATTGCACTCCAGCCTGGGCAACAAGAGCCAAAACTCCGTGTCAAAAAAAAAAAGCATTATAGATTTGACTCGTAGTGTCACCTGCCACCCAGAGTCAGGATACCCCTTACCACAGGTTACCTGGGGCCTGGAATTGGAAATCTATCAGCCTTTCTGGGTTGATCTCTTGCCTCAGTTTATGCTCCCACAGCCACCTTGGGATCAACGTGGAAAGAAAAGCATGAGAGACTGTGCAAGGGAAATGGGCTGGGAGGATGAGGAAGAGGGGAGGGACGGGAGGTGCCTACCAACAGGACATGGAACTGAACCACCACACAAGCTCATGTCAGACACCAGCACACCTTGACCTTTGCTCCCAAGTCTGTGAGTCAGGATGGGGGTTGGCGAGTGCTCATCCTGCTGGCTTCCTGCGTGTTTGGGACAAACAAGCTTGATTGACACAGGCTTGCCAGTCAGCAAGGTCAGGGGACCTCTGCCGGAGTCAGCAGCAGCCCCCATAGACTGGTGATGTTTGCATTTATTTACTACAGATTAAATGACAAAGATCTCAAGTAAACACCATTAGAGGGTAATTAACATTGCTGACCCCCCAAGTAGAGAGCAGTTATGTGCCTGCAGATGATCGAAGGAAGGTCTTAGGACCACATGAGTTATTTAGACAAACTCCTCTACATTCCTTTGTATCTACTCCTAGCTATTAGCTCAAGGTAAGAGGATTAGGCTGCCTTCAGCCACAACCTCTTCCAAGAAGAGGCCTTCCAAGAAGGTTTGTGTTTTCTGTAATTTCTCCCACTATTCTGATCGATCTCCTGCAGATGAGAAACCTGATCTTTATGAGACGGGAGACAAAAAATTTGTGGATGAATGGTGTGGTGTCACGCAAACTCCAGTTGAGAGGCAATATATATCTCGCATCTTCTCAGCTGCATTGACTTTCTTACCAAATGTGGCAATTGCATCCAGCAAAGCGTCAGGCACATTTGCAGAAAGGGAGAAGGAAAGTTATCCAGGGCCACACTAGACTGAGATGGGGTCACGAGAAGAACCAAGACCATGATGTTCACATGGCTTTCGGTTGCTTCTCCCCAAGCTCTGGAAGGCAAATCTTGCATGGAC